GCTGCAGGGAGTGACATTTACCTTATTCCCTCTGGTGAGACCTACTCTCTCTATGGGATAACAAGGGGAAACTTTGAAGGGATCCGTGTGAAGTGGCAGATATTTCCTCATCTCTGCTTCCAGCTAGAGGAGCTATGGGCAACAGGGCAAGGCCCCTTCCACAGGGAACGTTCTGAGGCTCTTGGCTGACAGTGCTCAGGTCCTCTGTGTCCCAGGGTAGTGGGTGTGACATATATATATCTGACTTCTGAGGCAACCGCAAATTTCTGTAGAGAAACTTATGGGGGAAAAAAAAGATACATGTTTAGGAAACATGTTCATGTTAGTCAAAAAATTCCCTGGATCTTTCTGTAATTGTAAAGAGTTTAAGATAAGGTTTTGATTACTAAAATTTGCATAGAGATCAGAAGCCACACAGGTTGGGGCTAAGATGGCTAGGAGCAAAGATGGCATATTTTTTCCTTGGTGCTTCCCCCATAACTTTTTTAAAGATAAATGTTGACTTGACTGGTAATACTGTAAGGAATAGATTGCAGGTGACACTGTGTAAAAGCTAGATTATGGCCTCAGTTGAGAAAATGTCAAAGGGGACTCACTTTTCAGAAGTTAGTCTGGGTCTCTCAGGGGAGGGGAAGAAGGAGGGAGGAGAGAGAAGGGAAGAGAGAGAGGGGGAAATGGAGATGTTAGGGGAGGGGAGAATGGAGAAAAAGGAAGTGCTAGGAAGGAAGCTGGGGAAGAAGAGGTGGGGAAAGGAGGGTGGAGGAATGAGGAAGGGAAGGCGGAGGGAGATGAGAGGAGGAAGTAGGAGAGCCAGGGGAGACCAAGTGACATTTGCTTAGCATTCACTATATGTGAGACAGTGTGTTTTCACATAAATTACTTCAATGACTCTTCACAGGGACTCTGAAAATGAGATATATTTTAATATTTGATTTTTAAATGAAGAAATGGGGGCTCAGATTGTGTTAAATGACTTGTCTGAGGTGACAGAGTAAGGAAAATGGTTGGAGGCAAACACTTATTTGTGTCCCCCCAAAACTCCTGCCCCTTTCTCAACATTGTATTTATTTAGAGTGTGTGCCTTTGGATAAACTGAAGAAGTAGGCAAAGGAAAAGCCATTTGGAACAGTCTTTCATTGAAATTGTTCAGGTTCTGAGGCTCTGTTTTCAGTGGTGATGGTGGTCTAAGGAGTGTTACAGAATTCTATAGTAAAGGTGATGTCTTCCAGGGGTGACCTTACACCACATGAGAAGCAGCAGCTGTAGCAAGAACTATTTGAAACAAGCTATTTTCATTGCTCTGGATAAAATCATAATCTTGACACGAACAGTTCCATTTCACACAGGGGCCATCCAAAGCAATTGTCATTTTCTAACCAACTAGTTAGCTTGCTTCACATCCAAATATGATTCCTCCTATCCAGGAAGAACTGACCAACTTATAAGGCTTGAAAAGGCATTTTCACTTTTTTCTTCCTACTAGAAAACCCAAATAAAACAGGAGAACAAAGACCTCCAACAAATCAAGAGGTACCAATACATAACACATAATAGGCACTCAGTCATTACTAGTTGAAGCAATGAATGAATGTTCAAAGCACTCTTGAAGAAAGTGATCCATTATTTTCATGAAAAAAAAATCATTGATGTACTAGGAATGCTATGGAAATGGTATTGTACGTAATTGTCTGTTTCAATTAGCTTGATTCTAGTTGGTCTGCCTCCCACAGAACTAACTCTTCATTATCTAAGGGATGATTACATGGCTTGGGGTAATGTTTCTGGAGTTTGTTCCCTGGAATGTCTCTATCAGAATCACTTGGGACCCAGCCCATATCTGAAAGATCAGGTCCCTAAAATCTCTATTTTATTAAGACCCCCTGGAAATATGTCATTTGAATGAAAGTTTGAAACGATTGATACAGGGTTTGAACAGGTCTCTCTCATACAATTATGGACTCAGGCCTATATTTAACAGAATGTAGATGCCAGTCCACCTATGTCTAAATTAGCTAGGACTCAGTCTTGTAGTACTATAGATTCCAGTACAATATTTCCCAATATTTAGTATATGTAAGTCACCCAGGGAGTTTACTAAGTAGGAGATTTCCAGGCCCCACCCAAAGGCACTTGGTTGAAGCCAGATCTTAAGTTTAAACAAGCACCCTATTTGATTCTGATGCACGTATGCTGCTAACCTCAGACCTAATACCAAGCCCTTCTGGAAACAATAATCCTGTCGTGGTTATATAACCTCTGAAAGGACACTTTGTTGGTGATTTTACCACCTCTCAAGGCAATAAACTCTATTTATAAGTGCTTTCATTGTCAGAAATTTCTTACGTTGAATTAAAATAACATTCTTTTAATCTGTCTGTCTGGCTCTCTTAATTAGAGCTACACAGAAGACTTTAGTCCCCAATATTGTTTTTAAGAAAATATAGTTGACCAAGAAAATAAGTGCTTTTTTCCCCTTTGGATCCCTGTTTTGCTTCTTCAGCAGAGTGGGTAGGGGAGGAGAATGCAGAGGTCCAAACATGCATCCCTGATAAGAAGACAAGGGCTTCTGCTACTTACACCACAATAATGTTTAGAAAATCAAGCATCTAGAAAAGCTTGGAATTCTCATTTCCTGGAGTAGCATCACAATGCACATAAACAAAGCAAAATGTCATTCTGAGCTGCCCAGGATATGGGGGAGTTCTGTGGGTCAGAATAATGATGATGAGGGAAAAGGTGAATAAGGAGCAGGTTGGGACTGATTGAGATGAGGCCTTGCCCTCCTATAAGAAATCAGTGTGGGCCCTTCCTTATTGCAGCTGCTTGTTCATTTTTGTCCAGCTGCAGACCTCTGAGGGCAAGCATCTGATTCTTACACCAACTATGGTCAGCCGCTAGAAGTAGATACATAGAAGGGGGGACTGCCTGGAAAAGTATGGGCATGTTTCTGGGCATTTCACTGGGGCTTCCTCAGATCCTCACAGTTTTACTAATTTGTCCCATGTGCATGCTTCCTTTAAAAAACCCAAATATTTTATTCTATTCACAGGTTTCAAAGGAAGTAATTACTAGTAAAATTTTAAAAGACAAGAATAGCTTTGGACATGAACGGAAGGGTACCCAGAGTGGCCATGGGGATATTGGATTTATTATTTAAACCAGTGTGACTGGGCAAGTTAAAAAAAGTCCGTGGCCCAATTATATTCCTTTACAAAATGGGGATAGTAGTAAGTCACTTTTAGCATTGTTTGACAATTATATGAAGATATGTAACATGTGTTAATTTAGAAATATCTGTTAGTATATAGTCACTACTCAAAAAACAATGTCAGTCATTATTGTTGGCATCAGTAATAGTAGGGCTAGTCTGCCAGAATATTCACACACTAACACCAATTAGTTCTTTTTGAATGGTATTAAAAATACAGGTCAGGGGGTGCCTGGGTGGCTTAGTGGGTTAGGCTGCTGCCTTTGGCTCAGGTCATGATCTCAGGGTCCTGGGATCGAGTCCCACATTGGGCTCTCTGCTCAGCAGGGAGCCTGCTTCCCTCTCTCTCTCTGCCTGCTTCTCTGTCTACTTGTGATCTCTGTCTGACAAATAAATAAATAAAATCTTTTAAAAAAAAATACAGGTCAGCATGGGCAAAAGGGAGAATGAATACAAACACAAATGCACTAAATGTAGAAAGTTGCCTTTGCCTCAATTTTCCCATTCACATAGGTAAGGATGGATTGAATTTTCGAGGTGAAGTTGAACACATTGTCTTGAGGAACTTGCCTGATAAATATCTACTCTTCCCCTTTTTCTTACAGATTTCTTTCTGCTGCTCCAGCCAGTTTTCAGGTACAAGATTCACACATCAGAGGTTTTGGTTTGTTTAGATGTTTTTAATGATACAATTCTCAGATTGTTTATTCTTTTTGATGTGAAATAAGAACAGGGGGGACACCAAAATGTAAATGCGATGTTTTCTAAGAATGTCTGGGATGAGTTGGCCCTAAATGTTCTTAAACATCAAATAAAAGTTGAGTGAAGGGTGTTTAACTCATTACCAAGCCAGCATCTGAATTTGCATGTTGGCTGAGAGGCAGGGGACATGATAGGTTCTAGACCATCTCCGACATCCGAGCTGTGTAGTCTCTGGGGCTTTTTATCTCTTTGCAAAATGAGAATGAAAACACCTGCGCCGCATAACTTACAGCATTGTTGAGGCTTTACAGAAAAAAATGAAAATGCTGATCCAGTGTAAGCTGGCCTCACTCTCACAAGTCATTTCTCAGAAGTCTTGGCTCCGTTTTGGAATTTGCACTAGTCTACAACCTCTCACGCAAAAATAGCACACGGGAAGGATACAGCCAAGGTTCTCTCCCTCATTTTGAGGTCAAAATGGCTTAAAGTAGTTGTGCTCTCATATCCCACAGACCAATTTTGGGCTCCTGAACAACAGAGTATGATGCCTGGAGGAGAGGTATTTATGCTAGCTCAGTGGGGAAAGCCTTCATTCAGGCTGTTGGCGTGAGTCAGCAGAGCCTAACTAGGTGAAGCCCTCCCTCCCAACACGCCAGGGCCCACATACTTGACACTGGGTCCGTGTTCTTATTTCATTAATAAAATATGACCTCACACTTCTTTTGTAATCCAGAAGCACAAGGATACATTGGTTGCAAACTGCATGCAGATAAAAGGGGGATTCCTTTTGAAACTACATCCTCTTAATAATAAATAACTTTTGATCTACTATACATAACAGTAGTGCATTTCTTGTTAAAACGGCAAGCTTTTTCTTTTTTACCAAAATGAAAACATTCATTTCTTTATAAATATTTTAAATAGTTTAAATACATATTTCATACCAAGGATATAAAAATAGCCTCTCTTTTTTTTTGTCGATAAATAAAGACATGTTCATTTACATGGCAAATAACGTGCAATAGCTAACCACTGGCCACCAGCTCTATTTGACTGATTGTCTAGGAGATGACATGCAGTGATAATTGTCCCTTTGCCTTCACAAAAAGAAAAATAGATCAGCAGGAGTTGTGCACTCCCGAGGCCAACAGTGCTATGGATATTGTTCAGGAATGACAAACAGGCACTCAGGAAAAACCTTTGCTGCACTTCACAAAAGTCACCTAGGACAAAACGAATCCACAAATTCTTTGTCTGGGACTTCTAGCTGCTCAGACCCTCAGGGTCTTTGGACTTTTAAAAGTCTGTCAAACAGACCGGTAAGTGAATATCTGTATGGGAAACTGTTTCTGCTATGTTTCTAAGGATCTAGCAAGTGTTTGCTACAGTATGGACGTGGTTCTGCCTTTGGCTGGCTCCTCAAGCACTCTCTGGCAGGACTCCCAGCTCTGCTCAGTCTTCACACCTGCTCGAGGCAAAAAAGGCAAATGAAAGCTGTCATGCAGTGGTGGGTCTAAAACGGGCAGCTGCTGCACGTGCGCGAATATCATACGTTTATGGCTTTATTATCTTTCGTTTCTGTTGTGCTTGTGACGATTTCCAGGGGAAAGTTCTCCAAGGGTTCTGCAGAGACCGGCGCCGCACCTTCCCTGTCCCAAGATCCTGGCAAGTTTTCCAGACTGAAGGAACCTGTGGCTCCCTGGCTAAAGCTGCCCTCCTCTGACCTGCTTGGGAGAACCAGGTGCAAAGACGTTTCCGAGGAGGAGCAGACTGAGGACGAGAGAGTCGCCGAAATGGACTGCAGGGGTGTCAGTGTAGAATCCGAACGTGGAGAGATGCACCTTAAAAATTGCAGGTGGCCTTCTTGGACAACCTGGTAGTGGGCAGGTGAATAATCAAGGCTTGGAGAGTGGTAAAGTTCACTGTCTGCTGGATTTTGCTCAAGAGCTCCAGTTCGCTGGGGGCTGCTCCCCACGGAGGAGGGATCCACACTCCAAATGTCTGAGGTGACATTACCATGACAGAGTTGTGCTTGAGGGTAAGCGGCTCCACCGGCTTGCAAGTGTAGGCAAGGTTGGTGAGTACTCCAGGTCATCCTGGTCTGTAAGCTGTCCCTGGAGGGACACACAGATGTGGTGTGCAGAGAGCAGAACCGCGACGGTTGCTGGGGTGACAGAACGTTTTCTAGAAGGTGCATCACATTCCTCATGTCTTTACCTAACTGAGAGACCTCCTGAGTCAACGTCGTTACCTGTGTGGATAAAGCAAAGCAGAAGGCAAGAGTCAGAGGTGCGTGGTATTTCAGAGCAGGGAAACAAGATTTCTCAGTAAGAGGGGCGGAAAGGCTGCTTCCCCTCCAACCCCAGCCAAATCCAAGGGGTGAATGGAGAAGTTGGCTCCCGATCGAAGCCATCCTTATTCTGAGGGAACCTAGAGAGGCATTCATAGTCTGGCACTCTTAATCAGTGACTCTGAGGTTCTTGAACAAAATAAGATACAGGGGTCAACTATCTCTTGTATCATTTAAATACAGGCAGTATCTTTTACTTCCCCTGAGTTAGCGGGTTACACAGTGGTGCACACAAATCATCCTGGACACCTCAAAAACCAGTATAGAGTGGTGGGTATTGTATGTAAAGCACTCAGCAGGCCATCTGCCTGCAGCAGATAGTAAATGATAGCTCTCACTTTCATCATTTCTGGCCAAGATCCATGCTTACCGTAGGGTCAGGGACAAACTGGCCTTCAGGGGTGTAGAAGGCGGTAAGCAAGAACCCATACCAGGTTTGTGGGGAAGCGAGTTTGCAGAAAGAGGGAAAATAGCAAAATAAGAGAAATCTGCCAAACAAGTAGGTGCACATCAGCACAGTGGGGAGCCTGAGGGTGCTGGAACCTTATGGAATTTCAACCCAAACTGTGTGGTATGTGCTTTCTTCACTTTTCTAGGAAGTCATTTAGCTTCTGTGAGATTTTCTAAGTAAACACAACTCTCAAACACATAAGAACCACTGAAGAGTTTTCATTATTCATTTTACACTTAAAACCAATAATAAAATTTGCCAGAGGATTTCTTTTCTTACCAACCACATCACTTTCTTAAACCAGGAAGACCACCAGAAGATTGAATCTAGCTTTTCTGGAGTGTTTACATTCTTCAAAATGAGGAAACCCTGTATTTCAGAAGGCAGGACTTGAAAATGTATCTTTTTTTTTTTTTTAAATCTTTATAAACATATAACATATTTTTATCCCCAGGGGTACAGGTCTGTGAATCGCCAGGTTTACACACTTCACAGCACTCACCATAGCACATGCCTTCCCAATGTCCATAACCCCACCACCCCTCCCAACCCCCCTCCCCCCATCAACCCTCAGTTTGTTTTGTGAGATTAAGAGTCACTTATGGTTTGTGTCCCTCCCAATCCCATCTTGTTTCATTTACTCTACTCCTACCCCCTTAACCCCCCATGTTGCATCTCCTCTCCCTCATATCAGGGAGATCATATGATAGTTGTCTTTCTCCGATTGACTTATTTCACTAAGCATGATACCCTCTAGTTCCATCCACGTCGTCGCAAATGGCAAGATTTCATTTCTTTTGATGGCTGCATAGTATTCCAGTGTGTATATATACCACATCTTCTTTATCCATTCATCTGTTGATGGACATCTAGGTTCTTTCCATAGTTTGGCTATTGTAGACATTGCTGCTATAAACATTTGGGTGCATGTGCCCCTTCAGACCACTACGTTTGTATCTTTAGGGTAAATACCCAGCAGTGCAATTGCTGGGTCATAGGGTAGTTCTATTTTCAACATTTTGAGGAACCTCCATGCTGTTTTCCAGAGTGGTTGCACCAGCTTGCATTCCCACCAACAATGTAGGAGGGTTCCCCTCTCTCCGCATCCTCGCCAGCATCTGTCATTTCCGGACTTGTTAATTTTAGCCATTCTGACTGGTGTGAGGTGGTATCTCATTGTGGTTTTGATTTGTATTTCCCTGATGCCGAGTGATATGGAGCACTTTTTCATGTGTCTGTTGACCATCTGGATGTCTTCTTTGCAGAAATGTCTGTTCATGTCCTCTGCCCATTTCTTGATGGGATTATTTGTTCTTTGGGGGTTGAGTTTGCTAAGTTCTTTATAGATTTTGGACACTAGCCCTTTGTCTGATATGTCATTTGCAAATATCTTCTCCTGTTCTGTCAGTTGTCTTTTGGTTTTGTGAACTGTTTCCTTTGCTGTGCAAAAGCTTTTGATCTTGATGAAATCCCAATAGTTCATTTTTGCCCTTGCTTCCCTTGCCTTTGGCGATGTTCCTAGGAAGATGTTGCTGCGGTTGAGATCAAAGAGGTTGCTGCCTGTGTTCTCCTCGAGGATTTTCTCACATTGAGATCCTTCATCCATTTTGAGTCTATTTTTGTGTGTGGTGTAAGGAAATGATCCAATTTCGTTTTTCTGCATGGGGCTGTCCAATTTTCCCCACACCATTTATTGAAGAGGCTTTTTTCCATTGGACATTCTTTCCTGCTTTGTCGAAGATTAGTTGACCATAGAGTTGAGGGTCTATTTCTGGGCTCTCTATTCTGTTCCATTGATCTATGTGTCTGTTTTTGTGCCAGTACCATGCTGTCTTGATGATGACAGCTTTGTAATAGAGCTTGAAGTCCGGAATTGTGATGCCACCAACTTGGCTTTCTTTTTCAATATTCCTTTGGCTATTCGAGGTCTTTTCTGGTTCCATATAAATTTTAGGATTATTTGCTCCATTTCTTTGAAAAAGATGGATGGTACTTTGATAGGAATTGCATTAAATGTGTAGATTGCTTTAGGTAGCATAGACATTTTCACAATATTTATTCTTCTAATCCAGGAGCATGGAACATTTTTCCATTTCCTTGTGTCTTCCTCAATTTATTTCATGAGTACTTTATAGTTTTCTGTGTATAGATTCTTAGTCTCTTTGGTTAGGTTTATTCCTAGGTATCTTATAGTTTTGGGTGCTATTGTAAATGGGATGGACTCCTTAATTTCTCTTTCTTCTGTCTTGTTGTTGGTGTAGAGAAATGCGACTGATTTCTGTGCATTGATTTTATATCCTGACACTTTACTGAATTCCTGTACCAGTTCTAGCAGTTTTGGAGTGGAGTCTTTTGGGTTTTCCACATATAGTATCATATCATCTGCGAAGAGTGATAGTTTGACTTCTTCTTTGCCGATCTGGACGCCTTTAATTTCTTTTTGTTGTCTGATTGCTGAGGCTAGGACTTCTAGTACTATGTTGAATAGCAGTGGTGATAACGGACATCCCTGCCGTGTTCCTGACCTTAGTGGAAATGCTTTCAGTTTTTCTCCATTGAGAATGATATTTGCAGTGGGTTTTTCATAGATGGCTTTGATAATATTGAGGTATGTGCCCTCTATCCCTACACTTTGAAGAGTTTTGATCAGGAAGGGATGCTGTACTTTGTCAAATGCTTTTTCAGCATGGTTCTTGTTCTTTCTTTTATTAATGTGTTGTATCACATTGATTTGTGGATGCTGAACCAACCTTGCAGCCCTGGAATAAATCCCACTTGGTCGTGGTGAATAATCCTTTTAATGTACTGTTGAATCCTATTGGCTAGTATTTTGGTGAGAATTTTTGCATCTGTGTTCATCAAGGATATTGGTCTGTAGTTCTCTTTTTTGATGGGATCCTTGTCTGGTTTTGGGATCAAGGTGATGCTGGCCTCATAAAATGAGTTTCGAAGTTTTCCTTCCATTTCTATTTTTTGGAACAGTCTCAGGAGAATAGGAATTAGTTCTTCCTTAAATGTTTGGTAGAATTCCCCCGGGAAGCCGTCTGGCCCTGGGCTTTTGTTTGTTTGGAGATTTTTGATGACTGTTTCAATCTCCTTACTGGTTATGGGTCTGTTCAGGCTTTCTATTTCTTCCTGGTTCAGTTGTGGTAGTTTATATGTCTCTAGGAATGCATCCATTTCTTCCAGATTGTCCAATTTGTTGGCGTAGAGTTGCTCATAGTATGTTCTTATAATTGTCTGTATTTCTTTGGTGTTAGTTGTGATCTCTCCTCTTTCATTCATGATTTTATGTATTTGGGTCCTTTCTCTTTTCTTTTTGATAAGTCTGGCCAGGGGTTTATCAATCTTATTAATTCTTTCAAAGAACCAGCTCCTAGTTTCGTTGATTTGTTCTATTGTTTTTTTGGTTTCTATTTCATTGATTTCTGCTCTAATCTTTATGATTTCTCTTCTCCTGCTGGGTTTAGGGTTTCTTTCTTGTTCTTTCTCCAGCTCCTTTAGGTGTAGGGTTAGGTTGTATACCTGAGACCTTTCTTGTTTCTTGAGAAAGGCTTGTACCACTATATATTTTCCTCTCAGGACTGCCTTGAACATGTATCTTCTAATCTTTGGTGAGATTTGTAACACTAACACGGTGTTGTAATACTTCGCCTTCAACTGCTGTAAGACTGTATTTTATAAAGGACCTGCTATGACTTGAGTTTACTATCATGAATCAAAAAACTCCAATATAAGCAGCTGAACCTCTTGACTAGCCTCAAAAAACAAAACAAAACAAAAGGCAGTTCAACTTCAGTGACACCAGATCCAAGATTGCTGTTTTGGGCAAAGTTTTTTCAACATTGCCGTATACATTCCTAATTCCTCCAGCAGCTTAATTTAGTCCACTTCCTGTTGAGTGTGTTCTGAAACTAATTCTCCCTGGAAGACCCACCAGGAGGTAGTGCCGCTTGAATCAGGCATTTAAAAAAGGCCAGAAGGAGGTTTTTCCATGGTTCAGGCCACCAACTGGTAACACCTGTCTTGAAACTGCCAGGCCAAAAGCATTTCTGCCTTGCTGCTAGCATGGAACTCAAGGGACTCAACCAAATGCTTGTCCAGGCTTTTAAGCAGATCTGAAACTTTGGGTGATGAAAAGATACCTCTGAGCCTCACATTTAAGAGGCAAAATAGTGAGTCTGAGAAAGATGCTATGTGTTTTGAAATTTTTACTGCAGGTCGTCTCATTTCATGACCTGCCAAGCCTCAATTTCACAGTGCATGGCTCATACTTAAATCAGGATCTGGATCTTGGCTCTGCAGACATTTACCTACGGGCTCCCCCTTGAATTGATTAGCTCTTCTATCAGAATTTCAGAAGAGAAGGCTGATGCTGAATGAGATGTTTGAAGGGATATACTGACCACCCGTTTCTGTGGACTATCTAAGCATCATTCCTGTCTCAAAT